TGGTGCCCAGATGTTTGGTCAAATGCCAGTGTAGATGTTACTGTGAAGATGTGTTTTAGATGTGACTAACATTTAAATCAGTAGACTGAGTAAAGCGGATTACCCTCCATCATGTGAGTGGGCCTCATCAAATCAGTTGAAGGCCTTAGGAGAAAAGACTTAAGTCCCCCAAGGAGGAAGGACCACTGCCTCCAGACCGCCCTCAGACTCAAGCTGCAGCATCAGCTATTCCCTGGGTCTCCAGTCTGCTGGGCTGCCCTGCAGATTTTGGACTTGCCAGCCCCCACCATCGCATGAGCCAGTTCCTTAAAATAAATCCGCCCCCCCCCCATATATATATGCCATGGGTTGTCTCTCTGGAGGCCCCTGACTAATGCAGCCCCTCATTCAGAAAGCTTCCATACTTCCTGTGGAGTGGGGCCTGGCAGCCCCTGCAGGGCTTTCTCCCCTCACCAGTGGGCAGCACACCCACCCTGGCATGTTTTCTCCTGCCAGCATCCCTGCTTCGCACCTGTGGCCCATCGCCGCTGTGCAAGTCCCGTACACTGGCCACCGTGTGGGGCTGCCCCATGGCATGGATGCCTTCCCACAGCACACGCATTAGGGGCAGCAGCTGCTTCTTTCTAGTTGGGATGTGGAAACACAGGGCAGGGCAGCAGCGTTCGTCTGACCAGCTGTGACTGCCAGGGAATCAGGTGGGACTGATGCCTGGACTCAGACACAGTGGAGGCCTTGCCATCAGGGTCTCCCCTGGTGCGGGCCAGCCTGAAACCCCTGGCAGTTTCCTGGCCTGATGGGCAGCATAAGTGGACATGCGGGTGGATGGCACAGATGGGTGTGGCCATGCGGGCTCAGCTACTAGAAGGTCCAGGACACAGAAAAGGAGCCAAGGCAATTCAGCTCAGTGCAGGACACTCCGGGATCCAAGGACCACGAGTCTGAAACTCCACCCAGGGCAGGGACTTTAGACTTACATCCATGCCCATGGCCTCTCCTGGCCCCTTCAGTTCTGTTGCATCTCTGCCCCTCTTTGTGGGTCTGCCTCCTTCAGGACAGCCCTACCGTGCCCCAGGCCACAGTGTTCAAAGTGACAGGACCCTCTCCCCACTGCCTGTGAGGGCCTGGGGCTGCTATTTGAACAGCCAGAGTGGCAGTCATTCTCAACGTGATCAACCTGGTGCTGGGGGGTCAGGGGCTCATGAGGCTCTTCCAACCCTTTCTAGGCACTGGGGTCCTGTTTTGATCCATGTCAGTGTTGCCTTTCTACACAGCCTGGCCAAAAGGCTAGTCCTTAGCCCCCACCCCAGTGGGTCCTGGGCATCAGGGATTGGGGCTTTTGAGTTGAACCCAGCAGCTCTCCCCTCTGTGACTCAGACAGCCCATGTGCCAGTGAGGCCCCCTCCCCAGCTCTGCCCCAGCCCCAGGCTGCACGGCCTGATATAAGAAACTGGCCTCGCACACCCTTGTCGGCCTTTGCCTCCCTTTGGCAGGTAACCAGGAAGCTTTTCAGCCAAACGCTCAGAAGGAAATCTTCAGCCAATGAAGAGTTCACAGCGTGGAACACATTTGGCAGTCCCCATAACTCACGCCCTGTTTATTCTCACTCTTATCGTATTGCATGTGTTTCAACCGCTCTACGAATGTCATCTGTCCAGAAGGAGAATGTGGTTGTTTATTTCCTACTGTGCAGGGGGATGGAGCTCCCTTACAGATTGTTAATATGATGCTGAAAGGAGAGGACAGGTAACTCAGACACTGAAAGTGGAGCGTCTACTGACCTTGACTGACCTTGGATACCCCTGTCTTGGGGTGGGGGTGGGGGAGATGGGAGGCGTGTGGCAGCGTTGGTGACATTGGATGGAAGAGGAGGCTGGGGATTGTGGCTTGTGTTCCTCAGCAAGCCCACTGATTTTATTCTAGGTTATACTTTTATTTGGGGGCTTGAGAGGGGCCAATATTGAGGCCAAGACTTCCCCGCCCCCGTCCCGCCAGTCTCCATGGCACGGGTTTCGGTGCCTCCTGGTGGCAGTACCTTCCTCCTGGGTGCCGCAGAGGCAGGGCCCTTAGCTGCCCTTCCCTGGGCTCTCCATGGAGCTGTTCAGCGTCCTGAAGTGCAGTCTGCAGGGGGATGCGCAGACTCTGTCTCATGACGCCCAAGGCTTTTGGCCTTCGCTTGCTCAGAGCTGGGGCTGGTCTTTGCTTCCGCCTTTATCCAAGCAGTGCATGGAAAAGCAGCTCCTTCCACGGGAAAAGTAGGGACACTGGGCCCGGAAAGGGCGAGAGCCCATGACATTTCTTTCGTTAAGTTTCTGTCTTTATTCCAAAGTGGCATGTGGGATAGGGTCAGTCATTGCCCAATGAGCTGCCGCCATAAGTTTAAGGGTCAGGAACACACAGCTTGTGGTGAACTCGGGCTCCACATAAGATCTGTTTTTGGGTTTTCCACAAGACAACGTTTCTTTTCAAAGGGGGTAACTGCAGCCAGGTTGGCTTTGTTGGGCAAAAGTGGCCAAGAGGTCAGGAGACTGACCCGGCCCTGGGTTCTGTCCAGCAGGGACACTCTCTCCAGGTTGTGCCCAGGTTCCAGCCCAGCCAGCCTTCAAGTCAGGCAACCCTGGAAACTCCCGGGCTCAGTGCCCTCCTGTCCAGTCTGCACAGATAAAATGGGACAGACCCCACAGCCCACTCCCCTCCAGGCTGTGGGGACAGTGCAGGTGGGCAGTCACAGCTGTAGAGGCTGCAACCTTGATAAGCACATCCTCATCCAATTCTGCCAGCTGGCAGGATGCCTTTTGTAAGTGGCTCCTCAGTCCCAGTCTTGGCCAAGTCTGGCACGACTCATTTGCTCCAGAAAAGGAATATAAATAAGTGCCATTGCACCTTGACAAGTTGACAGGATTGACAAGCAGAGTAAATCCCATATCTGAGACTCGGAGGAGGCGAGGTGATTTAGCAGAGCCAGCTGCCGTCACCAGAAGAAAATAATTAAGGGAACCTGGCAGTGTGGAGGAAAACTGAGTGTGCAGAAAGTCCCTTCTGGAGAAGGGATCTGTGATCATTGGCTGCACAGAAAACCCGCACGTGCCAGAAAGAAATGAGCACAGAAAGCTCATGCTGGGGACGGCTGCGGTGAAGTGGACCAGGAGGAACGGGGGCGGGAGGCGTGAGGGCGGCCAGCAGGAGGGAAGTGGGCTCTAGGCTGAGAGGGGGACCCTGGTGAAGGGCTTAATTCTAGAAGGCTCTGATCTCAAGGTCAGGCACCCACTGCTCACACCCCGTACCCTGAGGGGTGCAGCCAGTTCTATGTGGAGCTTCCCCTCGGCCTCCGTGGGAGAGTCTGGAAGGCCTGTCTCAGACTCCCTCACATGCAAACACATGCACATAAGCTTGGGAATGCCCAGCAAAATGTGGACACTCCGCCCTTTGCCCACGGAAAGGCACACCCCTCTTCCCAGCCCAAAGGGATAAAAGAGCAGTGTTGCAGCAGAAGAAAGATGCAAGGTGCCCAATTCTGCCTTCGTTTCCGCCTCTTTGGGGTCTTGAGGAAGGTCCCAGCAGGCTCTGGGAATTTAGGCTTTTCAGCCCTGGGGTGACCTTGCGTCCCCACCTCCTCACTTGCTGATGAATGAAGGAGATGTGTGGCCACATCCTCAGGCAGGCCAGTATGGGGCCAGGGTCATAACAGTGGCTGAACCTGTAAAACTGGACCTCACAGAGAAATTGGCAGAGTCCCTGGATCAGGGACAGAGGACTTGGATGGCCCCTTGCCAGCTGGGCTCCAGCCACTGGACCTCTGCCGAGTACACAGAGACAGTGTGGGAAGCACTGGGCCTCCAGAACACCCCCCATCCCCAGGCAGCATCCAGAACTCCATCAGGTGTGGTCAGACATGGTGCCCCATCATGCCAGCTGGAAGTTCTAGCTCTCCGCTTGCTTAAGGGGTAGCTGGTTCTGATCGTGACCTTGGCTTTTGGCAAAGCCTCAGAGCAGAAGCATCCACTTTCAGGGCACAGGAGCAGGAAGAGTCCTGGATGCCTCCACGGCCAAGCACAGACAGAGGAAGGAGGCCCAGACTCTTAGTTTCCCCCAAAGGAAATCCTCTTGTCATCCTAGGACCTTCCCCCGAAACAGACCAAACCAAGTATGAAGCAGAATCGTCTCTGGCCAAAGGTTCACCTCCCCACTGCTTGTTACCCTGGGTGACCCTGGCCCCAGCCTAGGCAAAGGGCCTCCTTAATGGGCAGAGGGGACATTCTGGAGTGTGGCCAGAGGGGCACTGATTTCTCTCCACCTTACCCCAGTCACCATGAGTGCCTGTTGGACAATCACTCTGTGCCTGGGCTCTGCTCATCCCTTTGGATGAGCGGGATGTGGTCAGCTCACACCCAAAGCCCCAGGGCCAGCTGAGAAGGCCAACACTGCAAAGTGAGTGGCTAGATTAGGGAACTTCCTATAGCAAGTGGGGAGGCCTCAGTCTGAGGGGAAGGAGTATGTTCCACTCCCAGGCCTGGTGTGTGCAAAGGTGTGGGTGTGCGGGTGTGGTATTCCAAGTGCAGAAAGTCCACATTGAGTAGAGCCAGGGCAGGGCCGACAGGGCATAGAGAGAGGATGGACAGAGCTTTCTGGAGGATGCTTTCTCTTGTGACTTAATGACAGTGTGAGGTGGGGAGTGGGCTGTGAGGTTCCTGGCTGCTCCACTGGGCAGGTGTATGGGCACACCTGAGCAGGGTGCCTTTCAAGACTTAGGTTACCTCAGAAGGTGAGACATAGAGAAGGGAGCATCAGCTGGGAGCCGGTGGGACCACATCTTTGCTGCACCCCCACATTCCCTGTGGGTAAGGGAGCAGAGGGGCACTCCCAGTGAGCCATGCTCCTCCTCCCTGCTCCCCTGAACTGCCTTTTCACAGAGCCCACCCCAAGTGCCCTCCGGATCGGGCACCCACAGTCAAGAGCCCGTAAACACTTCCACTGCTAACACTGTCCTCTCTGTTGCTTTTCAGGAATAAAGTTCAACGTCAGGCCTCAGCAGCCCCACAACGTGAGTTCTGGGAGTCAGATAAATCTCAGCACCGGCAGCCTGGGGAAGGTTGGGGAGGGCAAGGAAGAAAATTTGGAGCTCACATTAAATCCATTCTTGGAAAGAAAAATGTGACCAGTCCTTCCCAGGAGCCTTGGGAACAAAGCCCGGGGCACTGGACCCATGAATTTCCCTTTCCTGTTGGCTGGCGGCTTTGGACCATGCTAATGGGCACAATAAATCTGAGCCAGCCTCCTTCCGGCCACCAGCTCCCCGGCCCCTCCTCACCCCTGCTTGCCAGACAGAGGTTCCTGGGAGGCCTGCGCCATCTTGTGGTCGAGAGGACACCTGCACCTCAGACCATGCTCAGCTGAGGGGAGAGGGGCCTGCAGGGGCTGGACTTCCAGCTCAGACCAGAAGGGTCACATCCTGCAGGGCCCGCCTGTCTCTCTCTCTCCTTCACCCAGTAAAACTCAGGCCACAGAAGGGTTCAGGGACTCTGGCCAGGGTGAGGGTCTGGCCTGTAAGACCCTCAGTGCGCAGCTGTCCTGTCCACCCTGGTAACCATTTCTCTCCTTGCCCTAGGACCTCCCACCAGGCAGTCCCCAAGATGGTGACTTTAAGGCACCCACAGAGAGCGTCACCCGAGACTTGCCCAGCCGGGCCCCAAGGGGCCTCAACCTGCAGCCTGCCCAGCCTCAAGGCCACCTAAACATGGGGGTCCATCTGAGACCCCGGCAGCGCCGCCGGCGGCTGCTTATCAAGAAAATGCCGGCTGCGGCTGCTATCCCGGCCAACAGCTCGGCTGGTACCTTTGTCCGTCCAGCGCCCCGGGCCCTGGACGGCCAGTGGGTCAGCCTGCATCAGAGCCAGGAGGAGCGCAAGCGGGTGATGCGGGAGGCGTGTGCCAAGTACCGGGGGAGCAGCAGCCGCAGGGCCGTCACGCCACGCCACGTGTCCCGCATCTTCGTGGAGGACCGCCACCGCGTGCTGTACTGCGAGGTGCCCAAGGCAGGCTGCTCTAACTGGAAGCGGGTGCTCATGGTGCTGGCAGGGCTGGCCTCATCCACCGCGGACATCCAGCACAATACCGTCCACTATGGCAGCGCCCTTAAGCGGCTGGACACCTTCGACCGCCAGGGCATCCTTCACCGCCTCAGCACCTACACCAAGATGCTCTTTGTCCGCGAGCCCTTCGAGAGGCTGGTCTCTGCCTTCCGCGACAAGTTCGAGCACCCCAATAGCTACTATCACCCCGTCTTTGGCAAGGCCATCCTGGCCCGGTACCGGGCCAACGCCTCTCGGGAGGCTCTGCGGACGGGCTCCGGCGTGCGGTTCCCCGAGTTCGTCCAGTACCTGCTGGACGTGCACCGGCCCGTGGGCATGGACATCCACTGGGACCACGTCAGCCGGCTCTGCAGCCCCTGCCTCATCGACTATGACTTTGTGGGCAAGTTTGAGAGCATGGAGGACGACGCCAACTTCTTCCTGAGCCTCATCCAGGCGCCGCGGAACCTGACCTTCCCGCGGTTCAAGGACCGGCACTCGCAGGAGGCGCGCACGACGGCGCGCATCACCCACCAGTACTTCGCCCAGCTCTCGGCCCTGCAGCGGCAGCGCACTTACGACTTCTACTACATGGACTACCTGATGTTCAACTACTCCAAGCCCTTCGCAGACCTGTACTGAGGGGCGGGGCCACTCACGTGTCCGGGGGCATCCCACTTTCCATGATTCTCAGCCCTGAGCTGAGATGTACCCAGAGCAACAGGTCTTTGAGGGCATGAGGAACCGTGGCTGCTGGCCACTCCACTGCCGGCCCTTGGTGGGGGACAGAGGTCCAAGCCTTGGATGGGGACCCTGGCCCTTGTCTCATACCCACTTCCTCACTCCTCCACTGAGAAAGATGCTTGGCGGGGGGGGCTGGACCCCAGGAGTCCCAGCTGCCCACACCCAGCTCAGCCAAGAGTCACAATGACCAGGGAAGTCTGCGGCCCAGAGGACGTGGGCCCCAGCGGTGAGGGATTTCCTGCCGTCCCTTAGCCATTGCCTTGTACCAAACCACACGGTTTGCAGCTTTTCTATGACCCAGGGGGAAGGTTCCCTCGGAATGAGGTTCCAAATAAAGCACATGGTTTCCAGAGCAGCAGTGTCTGCACTCTGTGTGTTGGTGTGGGAACACGGGGGCCCTGCCGGGTACTGTCTGGAACCCTCCCTCCCTCCCCAGGACGGCCTGAACCAGGTGACTGCAGGCTTTGCAGGGAAGCCCAGGCAGGAGTGGCCTCTGTGACAGGAGCAGAGGACCTGGTGGCTCCCATTCGGGGCCAGTGGCACACCTTGCACTCAGGCCCCTGAGGCCAGGGCTTGGTCAACCAGGTACCAGCCCATTCATCCCAAAAGAAGATAGACCTGTCCCCCTGGGAGCCCATTGGGGTTCCTTCTTGTCAGCCCATTTTTTGGGGTGCCCTCTGAGAACTGCCAGAGTAGTGACCAGCTCTCTGGGCAAGCTGCCATTTGGGGCTGTCACTGGGGTCAGTGGGGCACTGCATGTGGGTCGTAGTGGGTGTGTGTGGCATTTCCGGGTGGGGGGTGATGTCATCCCTGGCTTTCTCAAGCAGGTAAGCAGGGCGCTGGCCCAAAGCTGTCCTCTGCAGACCCCCTGACCCTGGCCTTGATCCCTGCCTCCATTCACCTGACAAAATCAGCTCAAAGCAATCAGGATTCACCCCCTCCCCCACCTCCAGTGAACCAGCTCTGGGGGAGGGGGAGGAGAAGCTGTGGAGGAAACGTCTCCAAAAACATACATTTTCACACACAAAAATGGTTCTGAACTGGTCAAAAGCCAGGGTGGTTCTGAGAAGTCTCGGGGAAAGTGTGTGTAGAGTTTTAAATGTGGGCGTAACTGTGGCACTTTGGGAGTCTTTTTGTAATGGGAAGTGCTCCCTGACTGTTTCTGGGGGTCTGTCTGTCTGCCTGCTTTTGTGTCTCATCTCTCTGTCACCCCGTGTCTGCCAGGAGCCTGCTGCACACCCTTCTGAATCTTCTGCGGGTTTCTCTGTGGATCTCTCCCAGGAGATTGCTCTCAATCCATCCCCACTTGCTAGGAGAGATGCTGCCAGACCCTGAGGAGGAGATGCTGCTAGTCCCCAAGAGGGACATGCTGGGGATCCCAAAGCGGACATGCTGCTGGATCCCAGCCAGGCTCACACTGGTGTGAGCTGCTCCATCTCTCTTTCTGCCTCCATCATGGGCTCTGGAAACTTAGCAAGGTGGAACAAGGAGTTGAGGCTGCGTCTTGCCTGCCTGGGTCCACATGCATCCAGGAACCCTGAGGAGGGTGAGGCCTCCCCTCAGGTCCCAGCTGGAGTGGCCTGGGCCATCTGACAGAAGGAACCCAGAGGGGTGGGAGGAGGCTGTGGTCAGGGTCTGAGGGACGAAGGTTGGAAGGCAAATGCCGGGAGGCTCGGAGAGGCTGACCTGCACTCAGTGTGAGAAGAGGCAGGGAGGGGCCTAGATAATGATACCCCAGGAGCAGCTGCCCCTGGGCTGCGGTGTCACAAAGACAGAAGTCACAATGCAGAAACAGTGTCTCACGGGTGCATTTGGCAAAGCCTGAGGAAGTGTCACCGGTCATCTGCTCAGCGAGCGGGACACCTGAAAGCCCAGCTGGGGCAGCCTGCAGGGCGCCTTCACCCACTGCTGCTGCTCAGAGACAATCAGGATTGCCCTGGGACCATCTCCCACTGTGTGAGCACGTGCGTGTGTGTGTGTGTGTGTGTGTGTGTAATGGAGGGTAGGAAAAGACATCTTTATTGGTGCCATCTCTCAGAAACAACCAGACTTGAGTTGGGCAGATGTACACACACAACACATCCATCAAAGAGGGGCTTTCCTTCTGTGTGGTGACAGCAGGAGACACGGGGTCCAGGCAATGACCATGATCACCACTTTACGGCCCCCCACATGACCTCCAGAGGCCCAGCCTTAAGGCATCACCCTGAATCCACTGAAATGGTGCTAGACCCAGCTCCAGCCCCCAACCCCAGCCTCAAGCTTCATATAGCCCTAGGGCTTGGGGACAGTGGATTTAACGGCCAACAGAGGAAAGTGTGTGTGTGTGTGTGTGTCTGGGTGGGGGGGTGGGGGTGAACATGTGAGTCTATGTGTGTGTATGTGTACATAAGTCATGTGGTAGGTGTCTGTCTTATGGGCATCTGTGTCCGGGGTGAGGGGAGTGTGTACACGTGTGTGAGCCTGTGTTTGTGTTGGGGGACCCTCTCGTGCTGTTCCCTCCTCTGCCCATCCCTGCCTCATTTCATCTGCTCACCACTTTGTAGGTATAATCTGGAGGGGGATGTCTGGGTCAGGGACCCAAGAAGGGGCCACAGGCTCTTCACAGGGGTCAAGCAGGCCCATCAAGTAGGGAAATAACTGCCAACCCCTCAGCTTGGTCCTCCTAATGGGGGCCTCCCTGGGACACCCCCCAGGGAAGTGCCTGCCAGGCCTTTGCCCTCGGGGTGGCTGAGACCTCCCCAGATGGGAGGCTTGCTTTCTGAGTGGAGAAGAGAATAGATGTCCCCCAAACCCAGGGTCCCCACTGGGGCCTGTGAGCCCCAGAAGCCCTGGAATGCCCTGGGGAGATGAGATGTGAGGCCCAGCCAGGCGGTCAGGTGTGAGATCCAGGCATCCCCGGCCCTCCTTCTCCCCACTGTCCCCACAGGCCTGGCTGCCCACCCAGGGGCCCAGGACAGAGGCGGGCAGGCAGTGAGTGGAGGCATGGCCCTCCAGCACCCCCACCTCCCCTCCAGGGCAGCGCCTATCTGCCAACTTCATCCTCATGGTTAGCCCCCTTTGGTGGGGTCAGAAGCCCCGGAAGAGCCCCAAGGCTGGGAGGTGGTCTGCCCACACTGCCCCATCTCCTCTTAGCCCTCTCCTCTCTGGGGCGCACCCGCGGCTAATCAAGGGCATTGCCTCCTGGCATCTCCCCCCAGCCCACCAAGTGCAGCGGGACCTGGAGCTGGGCACAGGGGCCTTAGGAATGGACAGGTGGTCTCCAGGAGCTTGGGGCGACAGTGCGGTGCTGAGCAGGGCTGAAATAATGCTGCCCCATCTCTGAGGACCCCATGCTGATGGGTACAATGACCCTGGATGAGGAATAACAGGTGCCCTTGGGGAGCGCCAGGGAGCTGCCCCTGGTGTGGAGAGAGGACAGAGTGTCTTAGTCCTGGCTGCTCTCGCTGGAGGGATCCAGTCCACTAGCCCAGGCTAAGGGGAAGGGCTGAGGGAGCCCCGGGCTCTGGTCCCTTGGGCTGGCCTGGCCTGGCCTGGCCTGGTCGGGCCCCACGGGGAGGGCTGCACTGCTCCCTGACTCTTCACACTGCCCAGAAGGGCCCTTTGCCCAAGAGTATCAGCTGTGTGACTGCAGCAGAGGGTGGCCAGAGGTCTGGCCAGGCTGGGGCCACCTGAGAACTGAGGCTCTTGCCCCCTCCCCCACCCCTGGGCCGGCCTCCGGAAGGGAGGGCTGGAGAGAGTAGGCTGGAGGGCTGCTCCAAGAGCTCTTGAAACCTAGAGCAAGGGTCAGGCTCAGGAGTCAGAAGTGAGTCATTCCAAACCAGGAGGCCTAGGGTATCCCAGGCTGAATCAAGCGCTCCTGATGGCTGTTGCGGTGCTGGCCGTTCCCCTGCGTGGCCTGATAGACCTCTCCCAGCCTGCTGACCATGTGTGCCACGCCCGACTTTATAGGTGAGACGACTGAGGCCCAGAGAGGGTGGCGCAGAGCTGCACAGCAACAGGACCGGGAGCTGGGATACGCCTCAGGCAATCCAACTGGGCCCCCTCACACTTGGGCCTCCCCTCCCCTCCCCTCCCCTCCCCTCGGCGTCGGTGCGGTCCCCAGCAGGGCGCTGGGGGCGGGCGCAGGTCTCCGCGGGCAGAGACAGCACTCGGCCACCAGGGGGGGCTAAGTCCTCGCTCCTGAGCAGCGGCCTGGGCTTCCCCGGCCGGCCCACGAGGTGGCAGCCGCCCCCCGACTGTGCAGCTCCAGACGAGGCGGAGCATCCCCAGCCTCCCACCCCCGTCGGCTGTGCTCTGCTCTCTCCTTCCCAGCCATGGGGTCACCGAGGCCCCGCCTTTCCAGCTCTATCTCGGGGCAGACCCTGGAGGTCCCTCTCAACCCACCAGCTCCAGAGGACCCACCTTCCCTAACAGCAAGGCCCCCGAACATCGCCAGCGCCCCTCAGCCCTCACATGGGCCTAATGGGGCGGTAAGGTCCCAAGAATCCCTCACAAGCACACACTGGTCGGCAGGCAGGACACAGAGCACGGAAGGGCCAAGGTCACCAGGGATGTGTGGGGAGCTGCCTCCTCCCCTGCCGGCTTCGCTCTCCTCTTTGGCAAGCTCAGACTTGGGGTACATTCTGATCCACCTTACGGCCTTGTACATCGCTCCTGCTGTCTCACTCCCTTGACAAACTCCAACCCTGTGACCCCTCCAGCTGGCCCCTCGGCTGCAGGAGGAAGGGCCCCTGAGCTCTCCTCGCACTTGGGATCGCAAACCTCAGAGGGGCACCATGAACCTGCCGGCGTTGTCCTCCTCTGTCCATGAGGATGACATCAGACCTTCTGTGACTTCAACCACAACACGCACACACACCACACACACTCACACAGGCAGACATGCCCCCACACACAGATGCATAGACACACACACACCCATCCTCGCAAATACCCACGCAGGCAGAGAGACACAGAGACACAGGTGCACATGGCCGTGCAGACACACACACACACACCTGTGACACACACACAAGGTGCACATGGACACAGGCAGACACACATCTACACATACACACTCAGACACACGCAGAACCGTGCGCAGCTCATGGAGTGCCCCTTACAGCAGAGAAATACAAGGGAAGGATCAGAAAGCCCCTCGCTGTTGTGGGTCACATTTATGCTCCTTCTGCAGTGACCCTCTGCCCTTTCCAGGGGTCACCCCCTCCACTCACTCTTGGATCCCCAGCCCGTTGTCTCTTCCTCAAAGACATCACTCATGCACTGCCCCCCCTCTCCTGGGTCCTCAGGCTTCCCCATTGAGCCCCATCGTCACAAACGAAAGCGCGCCAGCCCCTCAGGCGCTC